ACACACACACACTTTATCATCACAATAACCCGAGAAGGAAACACTATCATTCTTTTACTCTAAATGAGAAAAGGTTCAGAGTCCAATCAGTATTTGACTACAGTCAGACAACTACCAAAGTTCCAAGCTGGAATTCAAGCTCATAGCTCCCACACAGATGGTATAGTCACAAGGTTATACTTTCATTCTGTAAAAGACAGTCTGGCATATGCAAAGATTTTGCAATTTTGATGAATGAATGTGGGAATATTTTCTCAGAATTCTACTTTGAGCACATAAAGGATGGGTTCAAGTTATCTCACGCCCAGGATTTAGTAATATTTATTTTCCAAGTGATGTTAAGACATCTAAATATTCAGGTTTACGAAAATTCCAGCTATAATGCCAAACAGGCACTATTTATGCTGTGAAGCTGGACAGATTGTGGTAGAGATGGCCATAGCAAGTAATCAACTTAAATGTTTGTTGCCAAGGAAATTTTCATGTAATGCAAATCATTTTCTACATCCTTTGACATGAGAGTGAAACATCTATCTCTCTTTTAGTCATCTCAAAAGTATTTCGCTGTCTTAGAAAATCATCTGAAGGTCAGCTTTGATTGCTCTAATTCTGAAATCTGTTATGTTCCTGATAGCATGTAGAGTTTTAGATAATATCACTAATGTTCACTAAAAAAATATTAAATTGCCATGGATTGCAAAGTTCTTTGAGAGTATTATAGATGAGGCAGTTTCTGAGTCTTTGTGGTTCTACTTAGAACAATAGGGTTTCTTTTTTTTTTAAACTTTAAAGTTTTTTTATTTTAAAATTGTGGGGTACATTTCAGGGTTAGGTATACAAATATTCACTGTGCAGGTACCCTTTTTGATGGGGTGTACCCCCCCTTCCCCAGGCAGATTTCCACTACTGTCAATCCTACCTCCCCGTCCCCCTCCCCTCCGTAATTTCCCGCTACTATCAATCCTTTTCTTATAATATTGTGGTAGTTGTTCAAGGTCCACTTATGAGTGAGAACATGTGATACTCAGTGCTTTGTTTCTCTGAGAGATCACTCAGAACAATAGGATTTCAAACCCTAAATTCAAATCCACTGAAAGGATCAAACGCATTGACAGTGCTCAACCAATGTAGTGACCATATCAAATATTGCAAATCTCTGCATTCAAAAATATGTGGTGCTGTTAGAAAATAATTCTTTTTTATGTGTCATTTTGAGACAATTGTACTACTGTTGTACATCTAAATAGGCATATGAACTATTGGAATTTTAATATAACAATACAAATTCCAAAAGAAAAACAAGACCAAAAGGGAGCCATGAGAGTATATCAAGCCTGAATATTAAACAAAATTTGTTGTAAATATTATCTGCCTTAGGATCAAACATTTTCTTTAGAAAGCCTATTCATAATATATGGACTTTTGTTTATTTCACATTAAGTGTTGTGTTGAAAAAACTAATGTTTTTTTCTCTGCTCTCACACCACAATCAACACAATACTTTCATGACTAGATATGTGGGAATTTTCCCCCACACATCAAATAAGCAATCAATTCTGCAGCAGACACCAGCTGGGTATCCTCCAACCCAGTTTCATTCTGATACTGTCTACCTGGAGATGGTGTCAGATCCCACAGGGTGAGGACTCATTCCCCAAGACTGCCCCCCACTCTGATGCCAACCACAAGCTCCTGACCCACTGCCTATAAATTGAGATACCCACAACTCTTTTCTTGTGTTCAGTTAAATACTTGCTTATGCTTATCAATTTATGATAAAGGGTATTACAAAGGATACAGATGAAGAAATGCACAGGGCAAGTCATATGGGAAGGAATGTGGGACTTCCATGTCCTCTCCAGTCACATCCCAGTCCAAGAAGTTCCAACATATTTAGCTCTCTGAAAGTTCTCCTTACCCATCTTCGTGGGCCATTTAAGGGGACTTCATGGGATAAGCACGACTAAAGTATGGGCATCCTTGTAGAAATATGATTGGATGAAAATAATATGATTTAATACTAATAGACTAAGTGGGAAAACCCAACAAGACCTGTCTGTTTAGATTTTTCTTGGCCTTTCTGTGCAGCATTTCTTCCTCCTGGGTGTGGGGCTGGACCACTTCTGAAATGAGGGTCTTATGACCTACAATCAGGCAAAGTAGGTCAGAGAATTTCTTTATGTCCTGCTCCAAACAAAAAGGAAGGGGAAGATTAGAGTATATTTTTAGTTTTTGTGGCCTGATTTGGAGGGAAAAAGGAGCAGGTGAAAAGAGAGAAAGATCCTATTTTCTGAGCCCTAAAGTGCCCCAACCTTATAACTAAAGACCATGTTTCACCTTTATTACTCTGAAACTGTCCTAAAGCTGCTTCAGGAACCAAGGACAAAAGACCAAAAACTTTAACAGAAGATATGCTTATTGTTTTAGTCACTTAGGAAATCAAGGACTATGGAAGTTATGAACAGGGAACCATGGACAAAATGGACAAAATATTATGTATGCAATATTTTTCATAATATCCAGCTGTGCTCTTTGAAATCTTATCTTTAAAATGTTATTATTTAATTGTATTATATCTTTATATGGAGTGTATCACTCATAATTACTGATGAATTAGCAATAGCTCTTAGTTGAAAGTCTTTGCCTCGTGTGCAGAATACCTTTGTTCCTATTCCATACTTCTCCACTCTGCTCTGTCCTCCAAGATTCTACAAGGTTTGCATCAGCAGGGTCTCTTGCCCTCTGACTTTTAGTCAGTCAACTTCAACTACTAGAAGGAACCCACCAAGCATCTGGGGACAAGTAGAAAGAGAAGTCAGAGTGGTTAATCCCCTACTCCCTGTCTCCATGTAGGAGTGGCCTTGAGTTAGCTGTATCCTTCCATGTGTGATCACAGATCCTGTCAGGTGATGCTCTTCATAAAGCCTCTTCTGTCCCTAACTTCTGTCTCCCAGCTTAAGCCAGGGATAGTGTGCAGAGAAGAGTTAACATAGTAGGCCTGACTGCTTATCTTTAGAAAGACCTGCTTACAAAATTGGCCCTTGGCTGACTTTTTAGCCCCTACCATCCCCAGAACTGATTAGAGTAGTTCATTGAAACCAAACATTTGTACAAATGATGTGGTTTATGCTTAATACCTTTCTTTCTGGGAGTCTGAAATTTGAGTAAATGATAGATAGAGGCTACTTACATAAAACCCTGGACACTTAATTTCTAATGAGCTTACCTTATTGACAGCACTTTACACACATTTTCGCAATGCCTTGGAGGAAATCAAACATGGTATGTCTCCCCGGAAGAGGATTCTTGGAAGCTTGTGCCTGTTTTCCCAGTACTTTACTGATGTGCCTTTTCCACCTGTTGATAAAATCTGTACTTTCAATGTAATAAATCTTAGCCATGTGTAGGACTTTTTGATGAATCCTGTGAGTCTTCCTAGTGAATCATTAAACATAGGGGTCAGGGTGGTCTTGAGGACCCTGACATAAACAATAAAGAAACTTGGCTGTTTCCATGCCCCAGAGTACTGCATCATTTCTTTTGACCACCCTTTTGAAAATAGTTCCTTTATTAAGCTCTTCCCAAATCATTTGAGTGTACTTTGTTTTTTCTCTTTTAATTCTGAATGAGTCACCCAGCAACTGTAGATATTTCATATAAAATATTGATAATTATTTGGTGGATTTGTTTCTGTATGTGATTTTAAAATCACCTTCACAAAAAAAGATTAATGACTTAAAAATTAATACAACATGCAACCTTTCCTTTGATGTTTAATGAGACTGTTTGAATAGGTTGTACTTCTCTAAATGGATGGAGGATTACACATCTTGTTTAAACCTGAAATGGGTAAATAAACTGGTGGCTGATTGTCCTTAAAAAATATTTAGATGTTGTTTTTCTCCGTTAACTTTGCATATACTGGAAAAAAACAAAAACAAAAATAAAAGCTCACTATTATTGAGAAAAATTAAGACTAAGGAAAATTTACAGTGACAGAAGGCAATGTTTTAATGGCAATATATTTTTGCAAAATGTCAATAAAGTAGTTAGCTGAATGTGCTTACGTGCCTGATAAGCAATCACATTATATCTTTAAAAGACCTCTAGCAGGTGTTAGTATATTCACATAGTATATTCAAACTGCTTCTTCATAATACTTACATTATCTAACATCCTTAGCTATTTAGATCACCAAATATTCTTTTTTTTTTTTTTTTTTGAGTTGGAGTCTCATTTTGACACCCAGACTGGAGTGCAGTGGCACACTCTCTGCCACCGCAGCCTCGGTCTGCTGGGCTCCAGCGATCCTTCCACCACAACCTTCCAAGTAGCTGGAACTACAGGCACGCTACCATGCCCGGCTAATTTTTGATTTATTGTAGAGACGAGGTCTCACCAAGTTACTTGGGTGGGTCTTGAAACTGCTGACTCAGGCAGTCCACTTATCTCAGTCTCCCAAAGTGCTGGGATTACAGGCTGAGCCACTGAGCCCAGCCCAAATATTATTCTTATTTTGCTTGCTTCACTGTGCTCTGTGAAGCAAGATAAGACATCTTGCTTAATGAAATGGAAAAGTTCCTCTTAAAAACCCAAAAGTTTATGCTACTTAAATTTCAAGTTTCCATCAAACGTCTGTCAATTTTTAAAATAATTATGTACAAAATAAGTATTACTCATTCTTGAATTGTTTCTCAAAAAAAAAAAAAAGCAAAGAAAGAAATGGTTAATGCAAACTATTGTGGTTTTATTTCTCCATCTATATTTATGTCAGCTGCTTTGATCTATAAATTTTTTTATGCTTATGGATAAAAAACTTTGTTTTAGAGAACACATGATGCATACCCTTTGTTTATTTATTTATGTCTTGATAAACCACACGTCTTCTTGATAAAGTAATCCTGAATCAGAAAGACCTCTTTGCTGGATATCTCATTTCAGTTTACTTGTATGTTTATTGATTGCTTTTGCTAATAAGTGTTCTTTCCGTTGTAATTTAGCTCCATCCCAGCAACCTCCACCCAGAGGACAAGTTCAAAGTTCTTCTACTATCAACCTCTCCTGGAGTCCTCCTGATTCTCCAAATGCTCACTTGCTTACTTACAGTTTACTCAGGGATGGTATTGAAATCTATACCACTGAAGATCGATACCCATACAGTGAGTTTAAGTGTTTTGTAATAGAAAGATAAAATATTCTAAGAATTGATACATTAGTTAAGTTCTTTGACACTGAGGATAAATGCTGTTGTGGTTTTCCTCCACTTAGCAGTGTTTCAAGCAGAGAGAGACTTACAAATCTTACTGGTATTCAAAGAAATGCATTAAAAATGAGATGCTTATTATATGATAACACTAATACTTATCTAATTCGCAAAGATGAACAAAATGACCCCATCCAGGATTGGCGAGGATATGGGGAGGCTGGAACTATTATAAAGTGCTGGGGTGTCTGTGTGAGTTCATTAGTAAAACTTTTTGTGTGCAATAAACTGTTAAAATGTATGAAAAACCTTCCCTTTGTGCATACCACTTGACCCATCACACCTATTTTAGGGAGTTTATCTCAAGTGAATAGTCTTAAATGGATACTAAATCACAAAAAAAGTCCATAGCTATACTATATGTAATAACAAAATTTTGAAAATGATTCACATGTCCAAAAATTTTAAAATAAATTATAGCATAGGACATAACAGAATCCTGGTATATTGTTAAATAAGTTGTAAACTATGATTGCCTGTACAATAATATATTAGTTTATATATCAATAAATGAAGAATGTTTATGACATATTGTTTAAGGTAGTTAAAAGGTATTAAAATAATCTGTGAATTATAATATTATAATTTATGATATAATAGTTATAGTATTTTAACTTTAAAATACTGGGAGGCTTGCAAGCCTTTTCTTTGGTTGTAAATAATACAGTAAATTTATCGAGTACTTCTAATAAATACATTAAACTTTTAAAATTCTCAGGTTAGACAAAGAAATTTTTAATCTGGAAATAACACTCAAGCACATAGTAATTTTGTGCATACATTGTGATTTCTACATTTCCAAACAGAAAGAACACAGCAACCAACATGAATTTTTGAATGGGGAAGGCTATTAACAAGCTATGAAGTCTACCTTTGCATCTGTAACTTCTATGAAGATTTTAAAGCAGCTTGTAGAAATCAAAATATTGAGATCCATTGTCTTTAAAAAACATTTATTCAGATATTTTAGATATAGCTTCCCTCAAGACTGAATAAAAAATAGAAATGCTTACATTCTTCCAGCTCTGTCTTTTCTCATTTTTGCTTCTAGTCAGGTTTAGTTACTTTCTAGTCTAAGAAACTAGTTTAAGGGATCTTGAACAGTGATTCCAACAAGATTCTATGTTATTCTCTCTGTTTAACACCCAATTTTCTAAATTCTGCTTTAACATGCATAATTTGTTAGAAAAGTGTATAAAGCTATGTCAAAACACTGAAGTTCCGTAACCTTCCTTAAAATGATTAAGAGGTTGCCTTGTTTTAACATATTAATTAGCTTTAAAACTCCTGCATAGCATACAGTTTTATTTTGTATGCATTATGGTGGGTTACACTGTCCATCTAATCTAATATGACTTGAATTTAGCTTATTATGTCCACCACTTTCTCTTAGTTCTACATGTCTCTTCAGTATTCCAAGTCTTCTTTAAAGTTAATGGAAACTCTGAACTTCATGATGCAGATTGCAAAGGAAATGAACATCTGTCTACATCTGCCATGTTGGCAAAGCATCCTAAAAACCTGCTACTAGAATGTTATTTTCTTCCAAATATCAGCATGATCCAGGTGTCCTGAAACTTAAACTTTTGTGGTAGAAGAAGAGAGGAGTTATAAAAAATATTGAAAATTATTTTAAGGATGACAGTACCACTGGTTGAATTATTTCCAAAGTTGCGAATTAAAGTCACCCTATTTTCCATACAGCTAAATTCAATAGCAAAATTAAACTTAAAACTACCAGTGGTATCATTCAAGCCAGAGGCATGTTTTCCATGGTAACATATTATGATCTATTTCATAGAACATTACCTCTGAGTACAAAACTCTGACTGTTTTTCATGATTACAATAATATGGAATCCAAATAACAGTTTCTTATATAATAAATGTGTATTCATTCACTAATCAGACATTTATATAATCCTATTAAACAAGGTATTATTTCCCAAAACCTTATTTTTCATTAAAAAATGCCACTTCTGGCATTTCTTGACAATCACTATAATTAATGATGTGAAAATTATCTGCATGATGGCATTTGAACAGTAAGAACAATTGGTTAACACTGTCAGAACTTTGTATCATTCTAATAATACCCTCATGTTTATTACTCTATTTCCAGTGCGTGGCTAGCATGTGTAATATGGAAAGGAAACACTATTTATATTCAGCTGGATGAACACAAATCTTTGGGTTAAATAAAGGCATTAGGAATTATAGGTGGAAAAATCACTGAACTTTTCAAAGAAAATTAATAGTGTTGTCTTCCAAGCAAGTTTGATCGTTTGGTTGAGACTATTACAGAATTATTTGTTAGAATGGAAACTTCCTCTCTGGACTGGTATACTATGAGATTCTCTAGGACACTAGTTTCCATTCAAGGATCATTATACACCAGTGTGCTATCTTTAAAGCTTTCAAATTATTTGTTATTAGTAATAGCACACAAATAATGTGAAATAATTTTAAAGTTTCTCAATAATCAACTTTTAAAAAAATAAGGTGCATTTTATCTCTTATTCAAGGTCGAGGTAACGTTAGCATTTTGGAAATTGTATGTAAACAACACCTAATATTATCTCTGCTGCATCCCCAATCTGGGTTGCTCATAGATATCTTAAGTATCATGAATGTGAAGAGAGCAGTTATTGGAGGAAATAGCCCTCTTGTGTTAGTGTTGCAGGTTTAGGGAGTGGTCAGTAACTTCTATTGTTTATTTTTCTTATTTGGGTTTGGAACCAAAGGAGCACTAGACATAATAGGTAGATGTTATAAATAAATAAAATAAAAATCATCCTTACTATTAATGAAAGCCAGATTAGAGAATATACCCTCTTTCCTACAGGAAGACAGATAAAAAGAGAGAAAAACCAAGGGGCTGGTCTGAGTATGCTTTGTTTTACACCCCCTTCTCCAACAAATCTACAGTCAGACTTGGAATGGCATGAGTGGGGAGATATCCCTTCAGTGTCACTCTAGAGAAATCCTTCTACAGGGAAACTAGAGGATAATTCTTCCTACACATGATGATCGCATATTAACATAGCTTTAACTTAGAGTTTTAGACAAAAACATATTTTAATGAACCTTGGTATTTCATTTATTCCTTTATTATTGATTTCCATCTTTAATACCATTATAATTTATTATCCTATATTGCATCAAGGGGTCAATGTAGCAAGTGGTAAGATGGTTCAGTTAGCTCTGAGGGAAAGAAATGAACAAACATAAGATATAGACAGACATTTGGGGTAAGAGCAAATTTCCAAACTCAGAGTTAAAGATGAAGTTAATAATCCTGGTCTTAAGCAAGGGAAGCAACCATCTTGAGATAAGTGCTCTTTTAATCTGAGCATCTTTTTTTTTGTTGTTATGGCATCATTAATGAGTATCCTACTTGTACCCTTTCCAATGCTTTTATTTAGTTCATGTTATAAATTGCCTTATACAATATTCTTATATAAATACATAGTCCACTTCCAATTATTTTATTATTCTAATTTATTCCCAAGTAGACTGTTCTTGTATATTCTAACCTATTAGGGTTATATTCCATTTTTCAAATGCTATAAGCACCCAGTAAGTACCAAGTGTTTTTTTGCTGTCATCAGGTTAAATGTCTTCAAATTGCCAGTTTTAGTTTATGACAGATAGTCTTTGGGAATATTCACCATTGATATGTATTTTTGTCTTTCAGGCTTCATGTTAAGTAGATTATTTTTCATCTGAAGTCAGAGTCTCACTCTGTCACCTAGACTGGAGTGCAGTGACATGCTCACGGCCACCACAGCCTCAACCTGCTGGGCTCAGACAATTCTTCTACCTCAGCCTTCCCAGTAGCTGGAACTGCAGGGACATGCCATCACGTCCAGCTTATATTTTGATGCATTGTAGAGATGAGGTCTCGCCAAGTCCCCCAGGATGGTCTCTAACTTCTGGGCTCAGGCAAAACTTTCACCTGTGCCTTCCAAAGTGCTGGAATTACAGGCATGAGCCACTGCACCTAACCATTTTTATAGCTTTTAATGGTTTTTCAGATTTTGTGAATAGTTTCAACAGTCTTAAGTAGAATAAATATGCAGTTGGTTTAATCTAAAAATATTTATGAAATTACAGTGGGCCACAGTTGTACTCTTTCCAATGAGGTCTGAACTGTAGCCCTAGGAGACTTTTCCAGATGTGTTCCTTCATTGGGTGCTCTGTCTTAGCAATAGGGATAGTGACTTTCTCCTGTCTCTTCTATTCCTATATTCTTTAGAGCTTTCTCCATAGTTTAGGAAGTAAAACCCTGTCATAATCAATCATTCTTTATGTTTAACTTGCCTTGTGCAAATTACTCTGTAGTTTCTATGTCCTGATTGTACTCCAATACAATATTCAACATATTTTCATGAAGAATTTACAATGACACACATATACAACATGTCAAACTCACCTTTCACTTGTATACTCTCTCATGTTTTTCAGTCTTTAATTACTCCCTCCTCTCTACCATTATGATGAAATTTGCAGAAAGAGCAGTTTCCCTCTGACCTTTTGCAGAAGGTCTTCCAGAGGCTCTGACTCTTTTGTGAGGTGTCGTTGGCTAATTCAGATACGTGAAGATGGTGAACATGTGTTCATTCTCAGGTTGGGCAAGTCCGCACGAACACTTGATCTTAGTCTCACCTATGCTCCTTGCTACTGCTGGGAACTTGCTGAGATTCTTTTTCCATGTCTTACACACAATCTGTGACCCTTTCAGAGGCTGAAGGATCACTTTGTCACAGCAACAGAAAGTCCCATAGTAGGCACAGTGGCCCTCAACACAGTGTCTTCACCATTCAAGAAACCCAGAAACCCTGTGAATTAAAATCAGACCCTTGATGTTTCAATATTCCACTGTATGCATATAAACATGTTTGGACCTTCATATTAATAGAGAGGACCCCTGCATAATGGAGTCCTATCTCCATCTCCCATACACACAGTCCCATGAGGGAGGAGGCATTTGTGTGTTTCATAGTCCTACAGTGTACTTGCTGTGCCTTTAGAGAATGAGGAGTTCTAGGCAAAAGTCTGATCATGTCTACTCCTATCTTTTTTACTGAAATCTCTTTCTAGCAGTTTCTCTCTGCTCTCACAATCCTTCATGCACAAAAGTGTTGCTTATCCAGAACTTCTCTTGTGTAAATTCCCCATGATAACAAATATCTTAAAAATTTAGCAGCTTAAAAAAATCAACATTTATAATTTCCACTCTATTTATACAGAACAGAAAAATATAAAAAGGTTCCTAGCAAGATGTTGGCCAAGTGACAGATTTGACTCTAGGTGATAGTCTTCTGACTTCTAGTCTAGTGTATTGGTATTTAACAAGCAAACCAGTTACATAGAGGAAACATAGGTATTCCTTCAAAACTTTTGCATAGACCTACTATCAAAAAGGTACTATAAAGAGAAAAACAAGAACTGAAACAAATTTTTAAATATTCTATATTACAAGTGGCATTTTAAAATTATTGCCTTAAATTTGCACAACCAAAATTTGCTTTATTTCAATTTTAAAAACATAACACAGACTCATTCAAAAACATATACTTGAATAGTTTATGTAGTTAAGTAATATAATATAAAAGCAGTTAGAAACCATTCTTTACCAATTTGTGGAATGTAACTATTATCTTCTTTTTCTTTTATTTTCATTTCAGGTATTCAGTACTTCTTAGACACTGACTTGTCACCATATACCTCATATTCCTATTACATCAAGACCACCAATGTGCACAGTTCAACAAGAAGTATAGCTGTCACTTACAGGACAAAGCCAGGCATCCCAGAAGGAAACTTGACCTTAAGTTATATCATTCCTATTAACTCAGACTCTGTAACACTTACCTGGACTGCACTCTCAAATCATTCTGGTCCTATAGAGAAATATATTTTATCCTGTGCTCCTTTGGCTGGTGGTCAGCCATGTGTTCCCTACGAAGGTCATGAAACCTCAGCTACCATCTGGAATCTGGTTCCATTCACCAAGTATGGGTTTTCTGTGCAGGCTTGTACTAGTGGAGGCTGTTTACACAGCTTGCCCATTACAGTGACCACAGCCCAGGCTCCTCCCAACAGGCTGAGTTCACCCAGGGTGCAGAAAATCAGTTCTACAGAACTTCATGTAGAATGGTCTCCACCACTAGAACCAAATGGTAAGAATTCAAGTCCTAGATTTCCCCTTCTTGGGCAAGATATTAATGAGAATCTAGGAATTTGTAATTGTGCAATAAGAATCTAGCAATTGTCATCTTTATAACTGTACAATATAATAATTGAGAAACAGTTTCTAAAGACAGAAGATACAGTTTGTCTTGGTTAGTGGAACAAGCGTATTTCTTCTAATCTAATAACAAATTCCATTCAATTAAATTGCCCCTTAAAAGGCTAATATTATCTTTGCTCTTAATGACATCTGCCATAACACAAATGATGTTTATAATTTGAAATTCACTTATGAAATGCATTATATTTGACTGTGTCACAAGTTAGGGCACCCATAAGCATTAAATTTTCTCTTTTAAACAAGAAAAAGATATAAAATAATACAAAAAAATATGTATATAGGCTAACTGACTCCATTAAGTTAATTTTTGTGTTCATACAATTGAACCCTTGGTTGTATAGGCCAGACACACATTCACAGATTTTTAATAATTTATATCATGTGCATGTTATGGCAAAATTTTTCCTTAGATTTTTAAGTTACCTGGTAAACCTGGGTAGAAATTAATTATAGTGTTCATGCAAAAAGGACTTATGCTAAATAGATAAGTAAATTGAAAAGATACACATTGGAGATATAATAATCAAATTATCAAAAAGGCCATTTTTAAATAAAAATTATGACCATCCATTCTGAAAAAGATTGAATTTACATGTGATAAATTATAGTGACTGTGTATCTAAATATTATTCCTTTTGGTTTGGTTTCCCCATGCATATGCCTTTAATAGTATTTCATACATTCATCTGTCCATCAGTTTTTTGTCTTTTGTAAATATCTATAATCTAGATTACTAAATCACTACATCTAGATTATTAAAGAAATTGACAGATAATCTAATTTGAAGAATATTGAAAATGCAGTAGTCTTTTACTGACCTGTCCTCACCTCACTGCAAAAATATCCCCTTTGTCTGATGAGTCATCTTGGTTCACTGTTTAACTTTTCTAGGAATAATGATAAGATATGAACTATACATGAGAAGATTGGGATCTCCAGAAGAAACCATATCTGAAGAAAGTCGAGTTTTTCAGAGCAGTGGCTGGCTCAGTCCTTACTCATTTGCAGAATCAGCCAATGAAAATGCATTAAAACCTCCTCAAACAACTACAACCATCACTGGCTTAGAGCCATACACCAAGTATGAGTTTAGAGTCATAGCTGTGAATATGGCTGGCAGTGTGTCTTCTACCTGGATCTCAGAAAGAACAGGAGAATCAGGTAAAGATCTATGCTTTGAGTTCTGCTTAAAAAGCCCCAAACGAAAGTATCTCACATTAAAATCAACACTGCTAAAGGACACTTTGAAAAGCAAGAATTATAAACTTCCACAGGCCAAGGAAAAATTTAGTATATGGGTTGGTTACATAAATAACTCAAGGTCGTAAAGTACTTGCAGTAAGTTTTAGGGGAATAAAGTAAATGCTTTAGTTATTAATTTATGGGTGAAAATGGCTTAACTATAGTTATAGTCTTTTGGGAATGTTTGTCAAAAGCAGCAATTGGTTTTCAGTCCTGAAGTAGATGGGACACATGTCTTATCTTGCTCCATATACAGCATAAGTTATGTCCAGTGAAAGAGATAACTGTTACCAATTCCATAAATATCTTTTTGTTTTTATTTATCTTTTCAAAATAAGTAGTTTAGGTACTAGATTGTACAGAGTGATGGAAACCTGGTCATCAAAGTCTACAAATCACAAGTATGCTTATAAGAAGTTTGCATTATGCTAAAAAAATGAAAAAGAGGGCAAACATTTCTAATTTTCTTGGATTACTTTATTAAGGCAATGATGACATTTTTAATCCTCCAGCTTATTCTTTACACTAAAAGCACTTCAAATTTTATGAAACTTTGCCTTAAAAAATATAATTTTGTTATGCTTTTTTGAATTCATGGATATCTAAAGAAACTTAAATTCTGATCTAAATTTGATCTGTCAGGAGTGTGGAAGATCAGAGTAGATTTAGGTTGATATCCAAGGGAATCATTTCATGAATAAAATGTGCATTGTACTTGAGCATCTCTTAATGACTACCAGCCATCTTGGACAAATAATAGTGCCATGATAGCACAAGTGATGAGGCATGGCATTCTGGAAGGGGAAAATCAAGGTCAGAAATGAAAAGTAATGGGTGAAACTGTAATACTGGACTCTTATAATCTTATGGGTCACTGGCTAATGAAAGTGCAATGAGTCCCTTTGATAATACACCTTTAGTTAGCACATTTAAAGTCCACAGTAAGATCTCAAGGATGGCAGGGGGGAAATGTATGTGTGTATGTACTCTGAACATTTCAATAGAAATTTAATGAAAACTTTGAGAATTTCTTTACGGTTTCAAATTTTTTTTAATTTAAAAGATGTGGGGTACAATTCAGGGTTAGGTATACAAATGTTCACTATGCAGGTACCCAGATTTACCTCTTTCTAATGAATAATATTTTACCAGCCACATTGGTTTGGCTTAGTGAAATATTTCCTTACGTGGGAACTCCAGCACATCTCTATGCATTGTTCTAAATTTTGTGAACTGAGATTATATTCTATTTTTTGACTACTTCTCGCAAATACTCACATGACCTATTGTTTCCTACTGAATTACTGATGAGTTATCATTATGAAAACAAGCAAATGCTTGTAAAATATTTATTTGTAAATGGAAAATATTGTAGCTGGTAATATGAAGATGGAGAGTATACTTGCAGATGTTTTAAAAACTGAATCAAACTTTTTATATATACCAGTATATTCTTTGATTTCTTTTCAAATCAAAATGTTTTATACGGTATAGGGTATTTCAGAAACTAGAATAGATGTGTGAATTCAGTTTGAAAACTTGTAGGGACAGCATTCATTGTGTTTACGTTGCTGTTGTTTTGTTGATAGCGCCTGTGTTCATGATCCCGCCTTCAGTCTTTCCCCTCTCATCATACTCTGTCAATGTCTCCTGGGAGAAGCCAGCAGATAATATTACAAGAGGAAAAGTTGTGGGGTATGACATCAATATGGTTTCTGAGCAATCACCTCAGCTATCTATTCCAGTGGTGTTTTCACAGGTATTGTTATTTTAAAATAATCCTTTTAGGATTTATTTATGGCTTGATTTTGACATTTTTTGTTTGGATAATTCTGTGACAGAATTCTCACTATACATTTATTAAGTGGGACATTTAGTTTCTTAGTATAATGTTATGACTACAAGACTCCCTCTTTGTATATCATTTTTAAATATAAACCTTGAAACAAAGTTGGTATAATTATTTTATAAGACTTGCTTTTTCTACTTGTCCTATATCCTCAAATATTTTGCAAGAAGTTGACTTTCAGTAGCTGTGTCCTATCATGTAGACATGCAATAATATATTTAATTAACAATCTACAATCATTTTATATGTATAGTCTATTAATTCTTTTGAAAATATAAATAGCATTGATATAAACTTTTTATATATACATTTTGTATATATTTCTATTTTCTTAGGGAAAAATCTGGAGAATGCAATTTATCAAAGCTTAAAACAAAAGTTATGAATACATTCAAGGCTTTGAATACAGTTACATATTGCCTTCTAGCAATTCATACTCTAGCTAGCAGTAATGAGAATAATAATCATAGCTAACTAACAAACAGTTACTGAGGCTTTACTGTGTACATGAACTAATTCATTTAATACATATAGCAATCCTAGAGGATAAGGGACTCTTGTTCTCTCCAGTTCATAGTTTTGGCTTATATACCTTCCAGCTCATTTTACCATCAAGGAGGTGGTCAGAGACTGACACAAGGATGTTAACCGAATGAGTCATTCTGTGTACTTGGCTGTTCAGTACTTCTTCTAAGGGGAGATGCCTTTTGGTAGGCACTAACATGATATAAAAAGATCTTTATACTTTATGCCTGCTCTCATAGATCTATCCACATTTTTATTTCATTCTTCTAATTCCTGGTCTTTCCATCTTTCTTCTCTCATGCCATGACCCAGCATATCCAAACCACTGCCACATTGCCTAGGTATATTTTACCTTGAGACAGTTTCCTTTCCTTGTAAGAATTGGATGACCAAATGCACTTACTACCTGAAGTTCTGCCCATTGAGAGGACTTCTTCTCACTGCTGATTTTTAAAACAGTCCTTGAGAAGGGATATAGAGCAGCAGCCACACATTTTGGCTTACAACCATTTAACAAGATATCTCATCTGTGAACTAAACTCTGTTTTCCCTCCCATTTTTCCAGTTCTTCTGGGCTCTGAGTATAGACTGAAGTTGAGCCATCTGTGTAAGAATGGCAGATGGCATGGGAGTCTAGACCACTTGCTTGTACAACATAGTATGGCTTTTGCCCTGCTAATACCCAATTCCAGATATTCACTTCCATTTTATGATGAATTTATGTTGGGCTCACCTAACCTCAAGACTTGGCTGAGATGGTACCTAGCACACAAAAAGTAGCTCTGGCTGCATGGCCAATTGATATTCCATGATTAGATGCTCTGCTTTTACTGAAGCCTTAGAACATGCTAGGAGACATTTAGCAAATAATGGATAGTTTCCATTACATGATAAGTCCTTGTTCTAGGCCCGAAGGGTCCATCTACCTTATGGTTCTCTTTCCATATGTACCTTCCAACATCTTTTCCCACCATAGTTACTTCTAGTCCCATCAGGTATACTAGGGCTTAGGTCCCAAGTGGCTGATCTGCTTGTACCAGATCCTGGACTTGGCTCAGAGCCCTTTCCTGCTCTGGGGTGCAGTCAAAGCTGGCAGCATTCCATATTACTCAGCAAATTGGTTAAAACAGTGTTTCCAATTTGAGGAGGTTTATCAAACATTGTGTTTCCTTCTTAGTGGTGATAGGTACAATAATTTGTCTTTACCTTGGAGGGGGTCTCAGTTCACTCGAACTCCTAAGAACTTCACTGATGTGATAGATTTTTTTAGTCTTCGTAAAATTGTTCTTTCACTCTCTGGAGAACATATGTCTTACCAAGACCTCTACATACCTACCATTTATTGCTTATCTGATCCACTTAATACAATGTTGTTGAAACAGCAAACCAATATTGTCAAGGTTTTTTTTATAATTTGCCTTAAATTGGTAACAAATGACCCTTAGATTTTCCTTGTCTTCAGTGTATTGATAGCAATCAGCAAGAGCTACACATAGTCCTTATAATTACTACTTATTAATCCTTATAATTACCAGTTTCAAAAAACCAGTGAATTATTTTTCACTGGAATTTACCTTGGTTCACCACTAGTGGAAGTTCAAGAATTAAACCACTAGAGCATGCTGTGGGCCATCAGTACTCAACCCACTACCTGTGATGAGGTCCTCATTGCCAGCTAGCTAGTTGGTGGTCCAGCCCCAAAATATCATTTTAGAGTCTCCTCCGTAGGGCCACCCTCCATACCACTATCTTAGGTTAGGTCCCCAGGAAACAGACTCTGTTGGTAGGAGACTGAGTGCAGGAGGTTCATGAATGTGATTTCAGACACAATATACGTACAGAGGTAGGGGATACAAGATTGAGCAGAATAAGTAATAACAAAAAAGACCTCAACTGATTCTGTGGGTAGTTCTGGAGCTGAAATGACCTTCTCAGTTGTTCCAAATTAAGTCAAGAGGTCACATTTTTGTACCCCTAGGGTATGTTTTTCCTATTGTTGCTATAACATTACTGTAAATGGAGTAGCTTAAAAAACAGAAATCTAAGTGTCAGCAGGATCATGTTCTCTTTACAGGTTCTGGGGACAGTCCTTTCTTGCCTTTTTGCTTCCCATGGCTCCTGGTGTTCCTTGGCCTGTGGCAACATAACTCCAGTCTCTGCATCTGTCTTCACATGTTTTCTTTGTCTCTTCTGTGTCCATGTATCCTATAAAGACACCAATCATTGGACTTAAGGCTAACCCTAAGTCTAAGATGATTTAATAGATTTCATTTGTGAAAACTCAAACCATTAAGGAATCTGGCAGAGTAAATACACAAAAGTGGTAATAATATCAGTGTAGGATTTCAAGCTCCTGTGGAGTTTTTCCTATCCTGTTAAAGATTTATTTCGTGAACAACATCGTTAGATATATTTTATAAGACATATAAATTGACTACGTACATGTTAAAGACAACATTTATCTGAGTGATAATTTTAGGTGCTTCAGGGTTAGGTAAATAAAATTTTAAAAAATTATGTAACTTATAATAATCCTATGAAGAGATGCAAAGCCTATAGAAATAGTATTAGTTTAGATTTTCTATTTCTTATTATATTTCCTTATATGTTAGTACTACAAAAATAATTGTTAAAAAACAATTCAGCTTCCTAAATTAAATAAGAACTATCTTAATGTAGTTCATCCTAAAAATAATTTAATGTTCTCAAAATTTATCTTGGAATTCCACCAGAATTATTCTAAATAGGATACATTTTATAGCAATACTCAGCAAATTTAATGCATTTCAAGGTTCTACTTTGCTTAGAAAATTCTAAATTACATTGTGCAGAAGAGAAATGTTTGTATCTTTACTACCTCGATAATAATTTTAGAATTAGAAAAGTAAAGAATTAGTAACTAGGTGATTGATTAAAAATTGGGTATTTTTCTGATTTCTAAATGTAATTACAAGGGAATGGTTAAAAATTTTAAACTATTTCTAGAGTTTGAAAATCTTGAAATCACCTTTATTTGAAAATCTTGAAATCACCTTTATTTCTGCACAATATTACCTAAACACTATATTCTGTACTCCAATTATGCTACTCTTTAGAACTACCCACTTAGGTTATGAAATTTTAAGGCCAATACCCAGGCAAATATTCCAAGTAAATTTTATTATACACTTAAAAGGAAACTATCTAAAAATTACTCCAAATGTTACTAAACTTTACATTTATCTATATTTGTTACATTATGGAAGTTTATTTTATACGAATATATATCAATAGCCTTAAGAAAATAGTACTATCTTTGTAGTTGGGTCATACTCTCTGTTTTAATGACTTCTTTTTTCTGAATCTAATTTCTAGTGGCTTTTGCACTCATAGCCTAAGCAAATTTATGTGGTTGCTTTTGATCAACTCTAGTTATGATGACAGGACCAATAATCAGTGCTAGTTATTTAATTACTTGTTTATGGACTATGGAGTTCTTCTCAGTCTTCTTTGCTCAAATCTGTTATTTTCATTTGAAATTATATAATATAGACAATATTTCCCCCAAAATGTAACTTTAATCCAATCTGTGTATGCTTATTTGCATAAGAAAGATTAATGAGAATTGACCTCCTTTGGATGCTTAGTAATGTTTAATTCTTTTTCCTTTTTTTTCCTGTAGCTTTTTGTTTTGTTTTACAAAAATGATAGGATTGATTTAACATAGTGATGTCTCTCTATTCTAGTGCCATCAAATAGTATAGACATTACTGTGCTCGGTTACTTTTGGCCAAGCCCTGTGGTTTTGTTTGGACATTTTCATGATAACAATGACATTGTCACCATCTTTATCTCTACCATTGGTGACAATAACCATACCACCATGCTGCTTTATGAGGCAATAACTTGGTTTTCTCATTTATCCACTCAGGAACTGGATTATTACCTCATAAAACAGTGTGATTGTACAATTATCAATTAAATCCTGGCTTATCGAGACTCTTCGGAAAAAAAAAAAAAAATCCCTTTTCCTAATAGTGGTTGGCAATAATTCCCTCTGTCTGAATTCATGGAACTTTGCCTGCCAAGGTTATATTTTTCACACTGATTATCTATTATCTGATTTTTTTTCCTTTTTGCCTTATAGCTGTTGCATACTGCTAAATCCCAAGAACTATCTTATATTGTAGAAGGACTGAAACCTTATAGGATATATACATTTACTATCACTCTCTGCAATTCAGTTGGTTGTGTAACCAGTGCTTCTGGAGTGGGACAAACGTTAGCAGCAGGTAAGCAGCACTTATGGACATGAAACGTTTTGTTTGTTTGTTTGTTTTGTTTTTTGTTTTAAAAAGACTCCTATAAGGCTCAATACCTTCTCCACTTGGGACTCAATATTTGTCTTTTCTGCTTTTGCCTGCTCTCTCACTAACCCTAACTGCTACTTACCTTGACAAAAACAAAAAATAAACTTAAGTTTAAAGGTGCCTGGGAGCTTTGAGTTGCATCTGTGTCTTCATAAGAAATGCAATTAGATACAGAGTGACTCGAGCGCTTAGCCACCAATCTATGTCCTAGCAGTTTTCTGACAACTGGAAGAAGTATTTAGAAGGTTTCTTATGAGGACTTCAGGATACCTCTCCTCTCTCAGTTGTGACTTTGTGGGATTGGGTCCACTTACTCTTGTTCAGTGGGGCATCCATGAGTTACTTTGTTGCCCTGGTGTTACATTTTGGCCTTTATTGGATAAGCAGTTGTGTACTTATTATTTTATTTATTTATAATTAGTAAGAAGGTTTTAAGCCGGACTCGGTGGCTCAGCCTGTAATCCCGTGCCTTTGGGAGGCTGAGTGAATGGATTGCTAGAGCCCGCGGGTTCAAGACCCACCTGGGCAGCGAGACCTCATCTCTACAATAAATCAAAAAATCAGCCGGGCGTGGTAATGCATGCCTGTAATTCCGGCTATTTGGAAGACTGAGGTGGAAGGATCGCCAGAGCCCAGCAGGTCGAGGCTGCGGTGACAGGGAGCGGCCACTGCATTCCAGTCTGGGCGACAGAGTGAGACTCCAACTCAAAAAAAAAAAAAAGAAAGAACAAAGAAGCTTTTACATTTAAAATATTTGAATAAGAGAATTGTTATCAAGTATAATCTTTAGAAAATGGTTTGTATAATTTTTGTTTGCTTTAATTAGAACTAACTAGGTTTATACAAACCTGATTACATGTATTGGTAAGACATATAACCCAATTACTTAGCATTTAGCATATTTTCAAATCAGTTTTTCTGAACTTAAATAAGGCTTAATTTCCTGGTGCTCTTTGAAGCAGTGTCCAGATGTAAGGAGGCTAAGAGATTCTAAATGAATTCTAGATGTTGTGAAAACATAATTTTCTGTAAAAATATTTCCTAGACCTCCTTCCTAAATGTTTTTATCTTATGATTAATAAGTCCAATTCCATAGATTTTTTCTTTTTTTTCTGGTTCAGAAAAAACTTTAGGTCAAATGATTTTATCCAAATAATTTTGTTTCTTTAATTTTTTTCATCAGTGCAAACAACTTCAAAATTCCAAGAAATTATGGCTGATTATCTCTATGCTGAACTATTTATGTTTTAATATAGTTAATCTATATATGTTTCAGATATATACATATAGCTATGGAGTACCTAGTTTGTACAAAAGACCACTCTCCTATAAGACTGCTGACTTATTTATTTATGTATTTTAATTTTTTTTTGAGTTGGAGTCTCACTCTGTTGCCCAGACTGGAGTGCAGTGATCGCTCCCGGCCACCGCAGCCTCAACCTGCTGGGCTCCGGCGATCCTTCCATCTCAGCCTTCCAAGTAGCCGGAATTACAGTCACGCGCTACCATACCCAGCTGATTTTTTAATCTATTGTAGAGATGAGGTCTCGCTGCCCAGGCAGGTCTAAAACCCACAGGCTCAGGCAATCCATTCACTCAGCCTCCCAAAGGCGTGGGATTACAGGCTGAGCCACCGAGCCCGGCTTATTTATTTTTATATACTGTATTATTAAAGGGTTACTGAATATGGATAACAGAGGAATAATCTGCCTCCTTTTGGAAAAATTATAAAATTTGGTATTAGAGAACAAAAAATAAAAAAGTATTAGTCTTGCAGGGTGGAGAAAGTAAAAATAAAAATTTAACACAGCTGATGATTGACCTGAGAAATAGTGCAGGAAAGAGGGACTCCAACCATGTGACTGAGCAGAACTGAAACCATGTTTTCTCAGAATCGTAAAACATTTAGAAGTCATCTACTATGACTATATAGCCAATATTAATATTTCTTTGAAGTATTACCCCAAGTGTTTGTATAAACTATGTTCGAAACCTTTAGAGTAGGGGGAACTGCAACTTCTCAGACAAATCCTTATCATCTTTAGATACCTCTTTTAAAAAGTGATTTCTTACACTCTTTGAAAATATCTCCCAGTAGCTTCTACTCAACATTCTTATTCTACTTCCTTGGAGGATGTCGTCAGTCTAATCTATCTTTTTTATGTCATTACTGCCAATAACATTTTCAATAATAATACATCCACCCAAGTCTTTTCTCCTTCAGGTTGCATATCATGGACCTTCAGATGCAGTAGTGTCTCCACTGTTATTAGTACAGTTCCTCTAGATGAGTTCTACTCTGTCTTTTCACAGACATAAACAAACTAAAGAAACTGAAGGGAGAAATGCCTGTCCTTAGAGGCTGGTTGGATCTTAGAGAAGAAAATAGAAAAGCAGGAAAAATGTCTGTAAAGCAGAATCGCCCTGCTCCATGCATCAGTGATAGTGTCTGTGTTAATATTATCCTCACTAGTGACAGCAATGATTTCCTATTGCACAGAAGATGATGCAGCTGAGTACTTTGAGCAGCTCTCGTTTTAGTTACCAGTGAGGAGGTGTAAGATCACTCCTGTCTACTGGAAGGACTGTGAAATAAAACTAGTCAAAGCCATCTGAATCCTCTGTTAACCTTTTTTATTCTTGGAAAATATAACTAGAACACTTCTCATATTCTTTAAAAGCCTTGAGATGTGAAAGTTAATTGACTTTTAAAGATGGATTTATTTATATATTTAAGGGGAAAAAATGATTAACCAGAAGGCTAGGGTTTGAATTTGGGCTCTGCCCTTTACTAGCTGGGTGACCTTGGGATACATTATGTAACCTCTGTGCATTAGTTTTCCAATTTATAAATAAGTATAGCTTGTTTTGTAGAGTTTTATGAGGATTTGAAAGAGTTAATATATGTAAAATATTTAAAGAAGCATCCATTAGTTATTTTGCAATAAAATTTTGTTATCGTGATTTTTGTCATAATATCATATAATACTTATAGTAGTCACAGTGTAAATATTATGAAACTTCTAATGATATTAAAATCAAGAAGAGTTTATTTTACAACTTTGGGGTTATAACATTGTTATACCATATATGTAACAGCAGAGAGACCTAAGACTAAGGATTGTATTGCAAAAGTAAGCTTTAGAAAGGCTTAAAATATAAAAGCATTATTTTTTAAATTTCTTTAATAAGTATGCCATTCAGAATTATGCTAATTTCAAAACTTTGCTCAAAAACTACAAATTTCAAATTTGTTGTTTATAGTATAGAGTTTAATAATGTGCCATGGATAGATTGTCACTACATTTTACTGTGAATGCTCAATTCAGAAGTGTATATTGAGTGCTTACTATTTAAAGCACTGTGGAAGATTCAAATATAATCCCTACACCGCATTCGGACTAAGGAACTGACATCGAATAGGTAGGATTAGCTACCTATTAATGGAGGCATGTTCTAAGGACTGTGAGAAGGGTGAAAAGAAAGCCCTGGGAACAAGGAAAATGGGATAGGTGACTTTGATTTGGGAGTCTGGAAAATCATCTCATTAAATGACATTTGAGATGAACTATAAAGGATTGGAAAAGACTTTTACAGGTATTTACTGAACACATACCATGTGCTAGTCACTGTTTTAGAGGCTGGCACTGTTCCAGGTACTGATTTAATGAAAGTTGAGATTTATGAAGACATCTCTGTCAGTAGAGTATTCAATAGATTAGAAGACATGGTGTAAATAGAGTCTGGAGGACTTTTAAAAAGGCAGTGAGAGGGTAAATTAGAAGTGAAGATTCGAAGAAAGGAATGAAGTGGCTTTAAGGAGGAGAGACCCACAAGTTAAGAAGAGGAAAGAATTGACAATGATAGTGAATATTGTAGCTCATAGTGGTGCCAATAAACAGAATAGGAAAGATGAAGAAAGAACATATGGGAGAAATGAACCCATGAGTTTAAGTTTCATCATTTAATAGAAACACATCCATGACAATTATATCCAGCCAGCAGTAGAAAAATGCACGTCTGGAGCTTCAAAATGATGCAGATTTTGTAATCATCTGCATTTAGATGAGAGCTAAAGCTATGGATGACTATGAATTAATGGAAGCAGTGAAAATACAAGATAGGAGCCCAAAGAGAACACCTAAGCTTCTATTTTGGGAGAAAGAAGAAAAGAGGAGTAAAGGGAACAGAAAAATGGTCAGAATTAGGAAAAGAACTGGGAGGGAGCAGTATCAGAAAACTCAAGGGAAAAGAGAACTCTAGAAGGGGAATACTTCTCTGATGTCATATGGTATCAGGAAAGCAAGAGGAATATGAACTAAAATGGATGTGGGGTAACTGGTGACCCTCTACGGAGCTCTTTAATTAGCATAGTCCAAGCAAAAGCTGGAACATGAAGGATTGAGCAGTGGCAAGAGAAAATATAATAGTACATTTCCAATGTGTGGTTCTTTATTCTTTGCCAAAATTTTTCTTCTGATCAATTTTCATTCTTTAAAAGATTTCATTATCTTTTGTTTTTACATAAACTCTATTCTTTTTTGAAGGAAAAGTTATTTGGTGTTTTTTCTGAAATAAAAATGTTTATTTTCTAATTCCTTAATATACTGTGTCAAAACTGTCTGAGTCTTCATCTGCCAAGTAGAAAGTAAAGTCACTTACATGATAAACTTATGGAAAATTAATTTTTGCTTGTAGTTAGATTTATTTTAAAATGCACCATTTTGGCAGTGTTTGGTGTTCAGATCAGTGAGAATAAACTTGTTTTTATGTGAATACAAGACACAAAGCCTACCAATTACAAATCTATGATTCTTCTTGCCTCCTTAGTAAATGAATAAGTGTTTTTCTAAACTTTTCACAAGATAAAAACCTGAGTAGAATTCATGGACATTAAGTAATAGAAATAAACAATAAGAAGA